TGGTTTAAAAACAGTGGAAAGATGGTTAGCAAAGAGTTCAGATCTTTCCTCGTCCGAAACAGCCCAAGAGCCATCCTCTCTTCGTAGGGGTGCTGACACCTCACGATGCTTTAAAAGATTCCTTGTATGTCTCCATAAACTTCCATCGTCCGTCGAAAGGTTGTTAATAAATTTGTCGTAGTTTGTGCTTTTGAATTTTTGAATATGTCTTTTAAGTTCGTTGTTCAATCTGTTAAAAGTTTGTCGGTCTGAAGGAAGTCTGTTAGTCTGCCATACTTTACGTGCTCTTCTCTTTGCTCTAATCAAGTCCCTTATGTACATTGGATAATGGGGCAAGTTCGCTGCTTTTTGTGGCCTGGATGTTGATGAGGCCCATGCTGCATCTTGTATGCTTTTTGTGAATTTTTCAACAGCTTCTTCTAATTCCTCATGATTTTTAATTGAACCTGGAACGGAAAGATTGGTGTTCAAATAGTCTCTATATGCGTCCCAGTCCATGCAGCCTTTTATGAGCCTAGGTCTTTTTTGTGTTTCGGAAGGCTCATCGAAGAGAACCATGTGCACTGAGGAGTGATCAGAACAAAGATCGGAGGTTGCATTGACGGCAAATGGTACGGTTCTTAGTCCTTTTGTAATAAAGAAATCAAGTAAGTCGGGAGTTTTGCGTCTGGAGGTGGGCCAATAAGTTGGTGAATTTGGTGTTACAGTGTCTAATGAAAGTTCATGGAGGACAGACCAGAGATTTCTGCCTCTTGGAGTACACAACCTTGAGCCCCAGCCTTGATGCTTAGCATTATAGTCTCCACCTGCGATGAAGCATCTTCCGAGGCGTTTGAAGAACTCAGAAAACATCGTGGGTGTAAGCTTATACCTAGGGGGACAGTAAACTGAGGCAAATGTTATAGTGTAGTGTTTAGTGTATAGTGTTATTCCTGTCGATTGTATGTCGGGTGTAATGGGTAAGTCTATGGGATTGTGTTTCAGTGAATTTTTGACGAGTATAGCTGTTCCTCCATGTGCAGTTTTATCTGGGTGATCAGTTCTGTAAATTGTGTAATCCTGGATGTAAATTTTTGATCGGGATGTCAGGTGTGTTTCTGTAATGAGTGCTACGTCGATTCGTTTTTCGTGCAAGTATAAGTCGAGTTCAGTACTGTGCTGTTTCAGTCCGTTGGCATTCCATAGAAGAACTGACAAGGAGCCTACAGTTAAATTATTGTGGGCCATAATTTGGGCACAAGACCTGTGTAACCTGTGACAGTTGTTGAAGAAGAATGAAAAGGGGCTGGATTAGGTTATTTAATCCATTAATTATATTAAATAATTGAGAAGAGCCATTATCTACTGGAGGTATCGGTTGGGTAATGCCTCTCCTCGTACCTGTACATGTTTTCTGGTTCGGGGGTGCTGAACTAGATGATGTTTGATTTTGTTGTTGCGGAGGTCCTGCGATGATCTGTGGTTCCCCTTGGTTGTGACGTTGCCGTATTGGAGGGAATTCATGCATGCCTGGAGGTCCCTGCGCTGGCTCTGCTACTGTGGAACACTGAAGACGATTTCTTGCATTGCGCTGAAACCTAAGATCTTTCAGCGTCTGGCAGCCTCTGTAATTAGCGGGGTGCTGACCGGCACAGTTGGCGCATTTCGCGGGGGTGTCTCTCGTTTTCAAACATGAGCTGGTTTCATGATATTCGCCGCACTTTACGCATCGTGGTCGATGGTTGCAATAAGTTTTAGTGTGCCCATATTGCTGGCACCGAACACACTGAGGAATATTTCTCTTTTGACGCGGTTCCTCAATTTTAATTGTCCCGAAACTTAAAAATTAGAATCTATAAAACAATTATCTTGCCTACAGTTCTTTATGGATGCGAAACTTGGCCGCTTACATTAAGGGATGAGCAGCGTCTTAAGGTTTTTGAAAATAACGTATTGCGTAGAACATTCGGACCGAAGAAGGATGAGTTAACCGGAGAGTTCAGACGGTTACACAACGCCGAATTGCGTGAGCTGTATCCGGGTAATATAATTGAGGTAATTTCATCGCGGCGAATCAAATGGGCTTGTAAAGTTGTTGGGCTTAGTAACGAGAGAATTCCTAAAAGGTTAATATTTGCTGTGCCGAATGGTAAGCGTCCGAGGGGTAGACCGAAGCGAAGGTGGGAAGATTGCATTAAAGCCGATCTGAAGGGACTGGGTTTGGACGGCGAACGGTGGAGGGAGGTGTGTAACAAGCGATTGGTGGTGTCGGCATCGAACCTTCGGGTTCGTTAAGCCTTATTATTATTATTAGATGCAGGCATACCTATTTACAGTCGGCCATGGGAACCCTGAACCATACTTATCCCCCCACATGTGGAGGGAAAGCGGGGCTTCAGGAGATCCCTGCGCTTCTTCCTCAACCATTTCACTGGTACAAATTTTGCAAATCTATGAGATTCAATTAACCATTTAATGAAAGTGAATTTAATTTAATTCAAACGTTAAAGTCAATTGAACTATTGTACACAAAATTATATATAAATGTATATAGTTTTTAAATTAATATTTTTATATAATAAAACAAAATAAAAAGATAATATAAGTGAAACCGGTCTTGAACCAGGCTTATTCACTAATGAAGGCTAGGGTGCTAGCCACTAGACTATAGACAAATCTAGATACCATAAAATGAACTATTGTACCAATACATGTGCAACCTCAACGTGAGATGTAAATCTATGAAAACAATGTTTTTTATTCTTAGTCATTGAAACTGGTCATTAACTGTTTTTAGAGGGGCGCCACTCACCTTAAAACTGTTAATACAATAAAATAAAATGCAATCTCCAGCCGGCCCATATTACGTGCTGACGAGAGTTCTCCTGCGGGATAATGTCCCAGAGGCGGGATGTGACCATCCCACCATCTAGTGAGATGAAAACATTGGGTTTGCCAGGTATATTGTGACGGGAAGGAGAACGTCATAGGGTCAATTCCACACCCATTGCTGCCAGCAGCCATACTGAACTTGTAATGTTTTCTTTTTGCCTTCAGCATTAAGTGATACGGCGGGGGCGGGCTGACCCGGAACTGGCCGAAAACATCGTCGCTGGGACGTCTTTGTGTACGAAATATTTAAGGGCTTCTACATATAATATTTAATGTAATTATACATATATATAAATAAAAGGCCCACATGTAAATAAACATATTTTCCATAAAATGATATGAAAACAATAATTTAAATAAAATACATAATATATGTTATTCATAATCAAAATAAAATTGAACCCTCATATTATGATATGGTGAAAATAAACAATTAAATTATTCATGTTGGCGTCAACAGTATGTGAATGTGGAAAGTTGTTAAAAAATAATATGAAAATTGTCTATGAACGTAGGAATTTAGATCGAATTATTATGTTAGATTTAGAAAATAGAAAGGAAATATATGAGAAAATATGGGAAAAACCTGGTAAGAAATCGATGACATAACTTTAAAATTTTAAAAACAATCGTGGTAAGTTACATACATATTAGAATATTTAGAGGTTAATATGAGTGCAAATAACAGAAATATATGACAGTGTCATAAAAATCACGGAAGCTGTGGATAATACCTTAGATGTATTGCATATTTGCGATTCAGGAGGTTGTGGCGTAAATCAGTTGTGTTGGTAGCATTGATTATCATTTAGGTTGTGTTGGTAGCACTGGCATTGAAGAATATATAAGAGGTGTCAGGTTCGCCAGGCCTCATTGTTGTTTCTGCTTTCAAAGTGTGAACATCGTCTTGCTGACATATAAGACCTGCCATCAATATAAATCTGACACATAAAAATATTGAGTTGTATTGCTTATTTTGTGTGAGTTAGTTTACGTAGGTTATAGCATTTGTATAGTGCGTGAAGGTTATTAGTTTTATAGATGGATATTTAAAAATAATAATGAATAAATTAAAAAACATAACAAAAAACTTTATACATTTTTTAATATATCTATTAAAAATTAATCAGTTTAAATTTAATCTTTTTTGGAAATTCTTTTGAGCATTTGAAGAATCTTCGGAAACATCAAAATTCTTATAATCGTAATTCGGCGTATACTTGTACTAGATGTAGAGGATTATTTTTAGTTATGACGGTAAGAGACATGAAAATGTTTGCACCCAGGAACCGTTTCTAAAATTATGAATGAATGAAATGAATAAATGAAATTATCTGAGTCACAAAAAAATTAAGTGTTAACATTCGTTTCAGACGAGCACGGACATATAATACCTTATGTATGTTTATGTATGAAACAGCTTATCAAAACAGATTGGCGTCATTCTTCATCAGATCACCAAATTGTATGGATATTAACTCGTTTCTGGAAAGTATTAAGAAACTCTTAGATAAAAAATTCGTGATTTACTACATCAGAATTGCGAATTAAATTTCTTATTAGAATGTAGTTTTACAAATTCGATTGGTGATAAGACTGATAGAGCATTCAGAACACGAAACAAATGTGTATTTAAAAGTAGCGATCTTGGCAAATTTATTGAGAAAAGTTTTATCAAAATTATAAGCGAAGCAGAGGAGTCACAATTTCAAAAAAGCGGGTGGAAGCTAAGTGGAGTTGACGGGATCAGATTGAGAATCAAAAAATACTTACCGTTAAGAGGATCTACACATTTTCCTCTCCCGGCATCTATACAGTTCAAGAGAGCTGTATACTTATCTATACTTACCTTATATACTTATATACTTACCTTACTTGACATACATCACTTGCTTTTTATGCAGTAAAACAAATTATTCTACAAAAGCTTCAGTTCTATTACTGAGAACCAGCTTCAAGAAGTTCATAAATTCAATAATGAGGTTCAGCCTTATAAATAACGTTATGATTAATAGAACTTTTACTCTCCCCTTCTCACTTAACTTATCTGCTTTGTAAATAAATTATGTTACTTTTATCATATTGTAAATTGATTTTAAATGAGAGTTTGAAAAATATTATTGATTCAGGTAAGCTTGGTTGCGGTTCAGTTACTAGGAGAGAGCAAAACTGGACTCAAGGAACTTTCACCTTTCGACGACCTTTCATTTGAAATGTATGTAGATAAGGAAGTATCTAACATTATTCGACAGATGGAAACTAAAAAAGAAGAGGCAGTCAAAGGTAAGCATAAATCATATTTATTAGTAATAATACATTTTATTTTATCGTTATAAATGGGTAAAATTTGGTATTTTTACTTACTTTTGTATTTAATTAATATTTATAACCTTCATTCTGATACTGGTGTCAAGTTGAACTTTTGCTGGATGATCTGGTATAGAATGGCCCGTATGTAGAATATGCAGACTCCTAGTGACAATTATGAATATGATGTATTATTGGTGAGGTATGATGTATTATTGGAGATATACGAATGTCAATGTTTTAAGATATATTCATCATCTCAAAACATAGACATTCGTGCAACGCTCCTAAAATCCCATGAACGATAAAATAAAATAAAACTAAATAAAAATTGTATCTTTCTATATTTCATGATTTGGGTTTTTTAACTTCTTTTTTTCACGATTTATGTCATTTGTTAATTAAGAACCGACAACTAAAACAATATTGAACTTAAGTGATTAACAATTGGTCCAGAGTGAACTGGAAAAGATTTATGTCCTAAGAATGTAGTTAAAGCCATTAAAGGAGGACTTTTGAGCGGCTAAACTAAGCCTCATTTCCATTAATAAGACTTATTACCATTATCCATCATATCCATTAATTAAGTTAAGGCTTATTACGAAATATATTGAGATTCACCCCTAGTTGTGTTTAAAAATTATGTAGTTTGTTATCTTAACACTCAAAAGAACCCATGTATTTTTCAAGTATTTATCATCTGAAGTGAGAATGAAAAACATTATTTTATAACCGGATCTCTTTCATAGGAATTGTTCGGTATTTATAAATTAAACTAAAGGTTTCTAATCTTAACATTTACGTTTTCATAATTGAAGTAATCAGGATGATGAATCTTTTCTTTAAACGTAAATATTGGTATTAATAATATTTACTTGGTCACATAAAAATACGAATTAGTTCCTATAATAGAGATGTTGGAGGGAGGGAGGCGGTTACATTATCATTTTAGATGATAAATATTAGAAAAAACATTATTTAAAAAAATATATATATAAATAAAAATTGTGTTTTTACATTTGAAATCACCAATATCACATTTACCTTTAGGTCACAGGATATCAAATCACATAATATTTTTACACAATTTTGAATGAATCTCAACTTATTTCGTAATAAACATAATTAATCTTGACTTCAAGCTTATTAAATAAGAACAAGAATTAGAAAGATTTTCTAAAAATGGGGTACCTGTAGATCTGTAGTATAGTTTGAGGGTGATGAAAAAAATTTCAAATAAATTATGATATTTTAATTTGAAATATAACATTATATAATTTGGCCGCTCAAAAGTCCTCTTTCAATGGTTTTAACAATGACAAACTATCTTTTCTTTGAAGTAAATTTTGTTTAGTTTACTGTGGATCAATTTTTAATTACGTAAGTAAATTGTTTTTTAATTTATTCAACAAAAATCGTGACATGCAAAAAAAATCTTGAATTTTCTTATTTTCGTGAAAAATCGGCCTATTTTATGTAAACTTTTTTTTTTAGCTCTTGAGGTCTGCTATTACACCTTGAAACATTTCCCTCTACATACGGAACACCCTGTATATATATTATTATATGTATATTTGAACATAATTATACTAATATATGAAATTATTGTTAATAGCGGAACGATTCAGATATGCTGGTAAACTGAAGTCTGCAATGGTTGCTTTACGAGAGGTTGGCGAAAGATTAGGTCGTTACGAGGTTAGTAAACAACAGGCCATAGCTAATGAAGACTACAGCCGGGCCAACCGCAAGAAAGAACAGATGGACCTTCTTAGATCGGAGGCATACGCTACTCTCAATATCAATGATTTGCTTGAAGAGGACGGGGTTAGTGTTTCAGTAATTTTAACCATGATTGATACGAACTGTTAATTTATATAAAACCATGAATAATTTCTGTAGCGTTATAGCTTTATATGTATGTATATATATATATATATATATATATATATATATATATATATAATGAGTTTTCAATCCAAATATGTTATATATGAGAAATATTAACTAAAGGATTTTTTTTTTATATTAACTTATTTATTGAAAAATATTACAATCTGTACAACACTATTATAATAGTGTTCAGAGATCACATTCACACTCTATGTACAATAAATAAAATAAATTATACAGACAAATAATATATATACAATAAATAAGAATAAAATAACCTAAAAATAAATAAATAAAAAGAACACATACATACCTATATACACTATTTACAACTAAAGGATTAGAAATAAAAACTGGATTGAAGAACTTAATTGAACTCTTTCCTAATTTCACAAGAGATTTATTCTTCTTCTTCCAATGTACCATAATTCATGTAGAGTCATGGGATCCTGCAACTTCAACCTCCAGTCATCCCTGAGGATTGCTTCCAGTTGTGGGCTACAAGCATAGTTTGGCCGTCTGTTTCTACTCCATCAGCCTTGTTGCGTAAATTCATCCTTCTAATAATTTGTTCAATATAAGATATCCAGGCATTCGGCGAATTTGTCCAGCCCATCTAAATATAAACATCCTTTCTACTCTCATAACATCACTCCTTCTGTTCCTAGTTCATTCGCATTCGTCATTCCTGGTCAATATTAAGAATCGGGCCAAATGTTCTTCTTAAAATGCGTCATTGAAATCGAAGAAAGGCTGCTTCTTGGTTTCTTGATATAGTCTAAAACTCCGAACCATATGTAAGGCTAATCTAAGTAAAGTGATATATATTCGCAGTTTGGATGTGCGTGAGATCACTCTGCTTTTAAGTTCTTTGAAGGCTAAAATAGACTCAATTTGCGGTCATTTTCTGTATTTCTGCATTCATGTAATTATTTATTTCCCCTTAATTATTTATGTATTTATTTAATTAGCATTAATTGTGTAATTTAATATCATTATGTATAGTATTGCGTGGCCTCAAACATTCGCTTGCTCGGCCTCAAAAATTTGCTTGCACGGTCTCAAAAATTACACCTATGCCACTGATTATGAAATTACTACTACTTATCTCTTTAACGACCCATCAATTGCATCCCAAACTCCTCAATCGCACATCACAAACCTTGAAGAATGGTGTCAAAACTGGAAAATTAAAATAAATTCCAATAAATCCCATTAAATTACCTTTACCCTTCGTAGTAAACCCATGGCTTCCTGTCCTACAGTATCCTTTAACAATACCCCACTTATCCTTGTTGGACAAATCCGATACCTAGGACTCCACCTGAACAAACGTCTAACTTGGAATCCTCATGGATGAAACGACAAGAAACCGCTCGACGTTTCCGACTACTTCAGCACTTACTAGACAAACGTTCTAACCTTTTAATTAATTAAAAAAGGATCATATACATGACTATGATAAGGCCTATTTGGACTTACGGAGTTGAGCTTTGGGTCTCAACTAAACCATCGAATTCCTCTCGTATTCAATCTTCACAAACCAAAATCCTTCATAAAATCCGTAATGCTTCTTACTTGGATACAAATAAAATAATCCATAACGACCTGAATGTTCCATATGTTTCCTTTTTGGCCCAATCCAGATTTTTTTTTTCTGGGCCTCCCCTTCCCCATTTTTAAGGCTACATGTGGTTTTCCCGGGCCAGAGGGTGTAGTTAGGGATTTAAAAGATTCCCCCGGCACCGGGACGCGAACTCGTGACTATTTTATATCAATTGTATCATATATCTGGTTGCCGGGCAACGGCGGGGCTGTGCACACACGATAGCCCGTTCGGCCAACCCGCCCACCCCGATCCTTGATAAGCCCTTCCCCTTATCCCCGAGGCGTCTGAAAAGATGATAGTCTCGTGATCTCCTAATTTAGATACTTTATTAGAGTTCCACCAATAGGTAGATTCTCTACAAGCATTGTTATGCTATGTATTTCTTTGTATTCAGTTGAAAATTAAAGAAAAAACAGAGTTAGACAGAGTGATAGCATTCTGTTTGCATGAGCATTTATAACTGATTTTACGTTTTTTATAGCCTTTATAACGATTTTTAGGTAATCTTTATTTTTATGAAAAAATGAAATCATTAGCTAAATTGAGCAGACATTATTTTTTTCTATAAATGTGTGAATGTGTTTCATTTATTTTATTATCATTCGGCAGTAATCTGTTATTTAACTTATCTTGTATATTACTTTATCTTTTTATATATATATATATATATATATATATATATATATATATATATATATATTTTTTTTTTTTTTACTTTGGTTATTTATATTTATTTTCCTTTCTTATGTACATATTGTGTAAATGAATACTATTGCCCTAGTAACAATACCCTTCAGTGTGGCTGACTCTATTAATACTCAATAAAAAAAAATCTATTATACACATATTAGTTCATAATTATTAAGGACACGTTTTGTAATAAGCTATATGAAAATCTATAACGGTTTTTCTCCAAAACATTTCCTTTATTAATATGTTGTTTCGGTATTTGTTCAGGAATTAATAGATTGAATATATTAAATAAGAAACCTTTTGGACCTCTATTACCTAAAGTAGATCGGTGTTGACTAGGCTCTCCATAGAGAAGAGCCCACGTTAAATTTAAGGATAATTAGTATATTTATTTATAGAAAAATCTATAAAATTATACACACATGTGAGTATAATGATACATAAAGATTTATTGCAATTCAAAGTCTGATGATATATTAGATGATACAAAGAAATGAATGTATTTTTAAAAATAATATACACCTAAATAAAAAATAAAAATATTTCTTGTTCTAATCTGAAGATGGGATATAAAAAAAAAATCCCGAAATGTCGCGTACAGATTAATAAAGCAGATTTTTGGGAGAAAAAAAATCGATTTTTATATACCATATTTTTTCTTTTTCCTAATACCAACGTAAAATATTTCACTCAATTTTTCTGAATTGCTTTTTTTTCGTGATTATTTCAAGTGATTTATTGAAGCCAGTAGTTTTCAGATGCATAGGTATGGTTAATGGTAATTGTTCACAAGAGTGATAATATATGGCATTTACTGTATCATATATATATATGAGATAACATTTAAGTGGGTATTTTTCATTTTTTTTTTCCTAGATAATGACAAAGAATGATGCTGCAGGAAACGAAATTTTGGAAGCATCAACCCCAAGTGAAGAAGCAGATACTCCTGAAGTTTGTCCAGATAACATTCCTCCACCCGGCGTGTATCAAAGCCCCCTTTCACCTTTGAGATACACCTCTCCTCCGGTGTAGGTACATATTAATATTCCATGAAAAAAAAAAAAATATAAATATGAAACGACATACAATTCAACATTTATTTATGTAATATACATATGTGTGTGTGTGTGTGTGTGTGTGTATATATATATATATATATATATATATATATATATATATATATATATATATATATATATATATATATATAAAATTTAAGATCTGTGAGTTTTAAGTAAGTCACGTTTTTTGTTGAATACGAAGCGATAACTTATAAAATAGTTGATTAAAGTAACTAAACATTATTCCATAGTAAACTAAACAAAATTTACTTTATATAAAAGTAGAGTTTGTCATTGTTAAAACTATTTAAAGATGATTATTGAGCGGACAAAGACTGCTAAGTTTCGTTTAAAAAAAAGTCACAGATAATTTGTGATTTTTTTTTTATCACTCTTAACTGTACAAAAGTTACCTCGCTTTTAGTAAAAATTTCCCGTTTAATAATATTTAATTCTATGTTAATTAACGTGAGGTTTATTAGGAAAAAATCTAGAATTCACCTCAAGATGAATTGAGTAGACATTATTCTATTCTCCATTGTTCCCATCACCTTTATGCAGATGATTCCCAGATCTACCTATCCTTTTCTCCCTCTGAGTTACTGGGGGCATTTGCCAAGATTCAAGAAGATCTTGATCGAATCAATGCCTGGGCAAATGTAAATGGATTAAAGTTAAATGCTGCCAAAACTCAGGCCATCGTCATTGGTTCCAAGGCCCTCATTAGATCCCATACTGACTTTCCCATATTACACCTTAATGACCAGCCAATTTCCTTCTACTCCTCTGTTAAAAATTTAGGATTTTTCATAGATCAAACCCTCTCCTGGACCAACCATATTTCTCACATTTCCCGTCGGACAATCTCTACCCTTAAACTATTTCATCGCTTCCGCCATCTCCTACCTCAACATATCCGTAGACTCCTAATTTCCTCTCTCATCTTCCCCCACTTTGACTACAGCTGTGTGGTGTATGATGGCCTCTCGGTGGAGCTCCGTGATAGACTGAAAAGATTAATGAATAGCTGCGTAAGATTTGTTATTGGTGCCCCGAGGTACTCCCATGTCTCTCACCACTACACTGAGTTAAGGTGGCTCTACCCCTCCTTCCGAAGACAATACTTTCTAGGTACGTTCCTCTACCAAATCATCAACAACCATCGTCCTTCTTACGCCTACAACCTTCTCCAGTTCAAATCCTCAGTCCATTCCCTGTCCACAAGATCTCGACCTTCTGACCTTTACATGCCTTCTCACAGATCTGCCTCATTCCAAAATTCCTTTATTGTTCGCTCTGTCAATTTCTGGAATTCCCTCCCTATCAAGATTCGACATTCCCCCTCCATATCCACATTCAAATCCCTCCTATTCCAATTCCACAAAAACAGTCAGATACTTGCTAACCATTCGAGCGGATTTTAATAGAGAATTTGATATATTTTTATTTTTTAATTCTTTATTTTTTTCGGAAAAGTGTATACTGGTCTAAATAGCTTTAAGTTTCTTGTCATAGTATTAATGGTTTTGTATATAGTTTAGTTTGTTTTGTATATAGAGTTTTTACCTTATATTTTTTTTACATTATTTCTTTTTTTCGATTTATTTTGTTTTGGCCAGATGTAATATTTTAATTTTGTTCAAATTTGTTATTCTCAAGGGACTGTGTCTCAGAATAAAGTTATTTTTCTATTTCTATTTCTATTTCAAGATGTGTAAAGAAATGATGTGATTTTTTAGCGAGTCACTTAAAAGTACTAGTGTTTTCAGCATAAAGGACAGCAATTAACTGTTTCAAAGCTTTTATTTCATGTTTTTCAGTTATATGGGATATATTGTAATAAACATAATTGCCTTAAAACTCATTTTATTCATATAAATAAAAACATTTAAAAATAAGATTTTTTAAATATTGTTAAACGTAAAGTGATCATAAAGTTGAGTTTTTCTCCCAGATCTTCACCATAGGAATTGGTATGTATTTACCAGTGACAAACTTATTTTTTCTTACTAAAATTAACGTTTAAAATAAAGAAACCTACTGATTGCTTCAATTATTTTCATGAAACATTAAGGCTAGAAACATTAAGAGATGCTGCTAGAAGGCGCTTCAGACGCACACGCAATCCAGAAGAGTATATAGTGTCTTGAAACACTAAAACCTTACCCAATCTTCCTTACGACGTGCTAAGGTACAGTTTTTCCATATTTCCCTAACACAGACACCAGATTACAAGTCCAAATGGTAAATCTCTCCGTTGTAAAGTCCAAAACCTTTACCTCCTACTCTGAATATCTCGATCAACTGAATTCCTACTTCACCGAACCTAATTAATATAGAAAATATATCGCTCTTCTCTACATACTGACTTCCAAAAACTTCCTTTAACCCTACAAAATTCTATTTTTCAAATATCTCACCTCAGGACCTACTCTCTTCTTTCCTCAAATTCAGAACGAATGACTATGGTTCAGATCTAATTCCTGTGAAATTAATTAAACTATGTATGTCTTCCTGTCATCTTTCCTGTTCTAGTGCAAATTTACAATTCTTTCCTTCAAAATTCCACTTTCTCATCAGCTTGGAAAAATGTTATAGTCCGCCCGTTGAGCCAAGTTTCGGTTCCCTTCAAAGTTTTCGATTTCAGTCCCATTTCCATTCTCTCCATCCTTTCAAAACCTCTTGAAAGACTCGTCCATTCACAGCTTAATACTTTCCTCGAGCAAAATGGTCTCTTCAGTCCCTCCAGTATGCTTTCCGATCCCAGTTTTCCACCCAATGTGCTTTGTTGAAAATCACCCAAGACCTTCAATTCTCCATGGACAAACAGAAAATCTCTAGCCTGGTCCTGTTTGATTTTTCTCCTATTTTATGTCATTCTAATATCCAAGGATCATTACAATTGTATTTAGGTACTCGTATTGTTATCTAATATTTTGATTTTGATTTGATTGATTAAGCCGCCTAATTTCAATATCTCTTCGGCATAAGCTGTTAAAATGCTCATGAAATTATGCATGATTTTGACATTCCAAAGACCAAAGCTCGAAAATTCATTGCGTGAATTTCTACTGAGTGTTTCTAGAAGTTATTTATTTCCCCTTGTTTTGGTTGCTATGACTGTCTGGCGACCTAAAATTTGGGCACTATACTATAACATAATATTCATACTATAACATAAATATTCGAAGACAATATTTCCTAGGTACATTCCTCTATCATATCATCAACAATCATCGTCCTTCCTACGCCTACAACCTTCTCCAATTCAAGTCCTCAGTCCACTCCCTCTCCACAAGATCTCGACCTTCCGACCTTTACATTCCTTCTCACAGATCTGCCTCGTTCCAAAACTCCTTTATTGCTCGTTCTGTTAGTTTCTGGAATTCCCTTCCTATCAAAATTCGACATTCTTCATCCTTATCTACATTCAAAACCCTCCTATTCCAATTCCTGTCCCAAAAACAGTCAGACACCAGCTAACCTTTTATGTAAAATTACATATGATCTATAAGAACATATTCACATATAGCTCATAACCTAAATACTTATTATAGATTCGACTTTCTTTTTTTCTTTTTCAACAGAAACAGATTTTACTGTTAAGAAGAATTTACATTTATTTTTTCTGTATTTTTTATTTTTTCTAAAAGGGTTTATTTATATTTTAACATTGTACATACTTTTAAGTATCTTAGTATGGTTTCAAGAGTTTTTTATATATATTTTTTTATTTTATTTTGTAAATAGTATGTATAACCAATATTTTTTTCTTTTCTTTTTTTTAATGACCTATCTTTATCTTAACTTTTTATGTTTGTTTTTATCTGGCCAGATATAAAATTTTAATTTCTGTACTTTTTTGTTATTTTGAATGGACTTCGTCCCAGAATAAAATTATTTTTCTATTCTATTCTATTCTATAACAAATTCAACGTAAATTCGAAAATGGTGACAGTAATTGAGATATGTTTATTTACATTAGAAAAAATTGACTGTATTTGTTGAAAATCTCATTAAAATGACTATTATGTATCGACAACGGATATGAATGTGCGTATTTGGAGACTCACAACTAAATTTCTGGTAGTCTATCTCCGCCATTCATTTCCTCCTGGGACTCCCTGCATATGACTGGAATATATAACTCTATCTAGATATAAGAAATTAAAGAAAGAAAATAAATTTTATTCTGGTACAATTAGTCCCCTAAGAATAACGAAAATATAAAATTACATTTTCATTTGTCTGTCAACCAATAATTACAAAATAATTGAATTATAAATTATGTTTTAAGGGAAGTATTGGTAAATAAATGAAAATAATGAATTATAGGTAAATAGAAGTTTCTAGGTTTACTATGATGCACTTGTTTATCAAAAGTGGTTACGCTAAAATAATAGATAGTTAATACAACAATTATATCATTCTTGTCAATACTAAGTCCATCTTTCTTTATTTATGAGTCCATCTTTGTTTATTTGAAGATGGCCTTTTTTTAGGAGAAGCAGAAATAATTGGTGTTAAAATTAGTTCAAAGATGAGATTTTACATAGAGAGTTTAATAAGGAATTTCAGAACCACGTAGCACACATGATAAAGAATCTGAGAGTAGGAATATATAAGTTCGTAGGTTGAGATCTTGTGTTCTGAGTGGACAGAGGGATAGGTGAACGTTTTGAGAATGTCTAACCACTTGAATAAAACATTTGAACACTGATCAAAACATTAAAAAATAAACGTGAGAAACTGAGCACCAGCAATAAGTCATATTATCTCTAATTTTGGTTATAAAACAGACGAAAATTTGTTCCATTAATGATTGCAAGAGGAAATTAAGTGGAATTTTAAAACCATTTAAACTGCCCAATTTGTGTTTTATTTTTGAACATTTAAAATTTGTTTTCGAATTTCATTTATAAGAAAGCCGGAGGAAATTAATCATAATGGGCACCCCTCTTAATCATAATTATAATTTGAGAAGAAATTTGTCGGGGCTGCTTTCGATATATATTATATATAATACTATACATTATAACAGCATTTTATTGTGTTTGCCAACGTTTCGATCTACGTTGTAGGTCTTCGTCAGGGCATATCATCCAGTACTGCCGGAAGAAGTTTGGAGACTGATTGTGAGATGTCTCTGATCCGCGTTCCTAACTTCTTCATGCAGTGCCAGATAAAATGCCCTTATGAAGACCTGCAACGTTGGTCGAAACGTCGGTAATCACAATCAAATAAATACTATCATAATATATAGTATTAACCACACTTCAGACCAACTTCTCCTAAAATGTTAATATTATTATATTTATTAACACATTAACACAGGCCAACCGTTAGAGTCCGTTCACACATGTGCGTGATACTATCGCCGAGAGAGTCCGCTATGATTTGACTGTGTAGACGTGCGGTTATTTAAATGGTAATACATGTTATAATAATGTGTATCAACAATATGTGACGGCTGTGATTTAATATAAATAAAAACTGTAATGTAACAAGAGGGAGCTCATTCGCGATAGGATTCGCCATTAGCTCTAAAAGGTTTTATGTTATTTGGTATCGTTCTTCAACGAGTTGATTTCACCCTCAATCGCTGTAAGCTAAAATAAAAAAAAAAATAATGGAAGATCATGGCACGAAAAGAAAGCTTCCCAAAATAAAACCTCAACAGTTTATAATCATATTTAGTATAGCTTACTTCAAAACCTTATGTAGGAAGGGCTCATTTTGGTGGAGTTGAACGTAAATAATTTAAAATTTATAACGTTTGTTCGTCATGAAAAAATTAATAAAAGTCTGATAAAGCAAGTAACGTCTCACTTAAAGACAATAGTTAGTTTGATCGAGAAAGTGTTTTCAGCATTCACATCAGAGAAATAGTTAAACTATAAGGTCTTTAAGGCTAAAAGAAGAAATAGTATATACTCAAATAATGAAATATTACTAATGAAAAAATGAAAATTATTTTAACTGATGATTTGAAAATTCTAGGAATTAATTAATTTTTGTATTACTCTTCTATGATATTTAGTTTTTTATTATTTCGTTTATTTATTGACAGCAGATCAACCAGGTCACAATCTTCGGTTGTTCAACCAATCCGAACTGGCTCCTTGAGAAAAAAGAAGCAGCCAAGAACATCTTATGATCAGTATGATGACAGAATAATACCTGCTGCTCAAAGAAGGTAATGTGATTTTATACACATATGCATGACCAGTAATCTGTTTTCATCTCATGTTATCATCTAACAATGACGAATTTTATTTTTCCTAAATTTCTTTCATAGACTTTTTATCCGCTGTAATGAAATCACACACTAATTCCACTTATTTTCAAATTCTCTCGATTCTACTTTTTTTTTACAATCTCTTTCTTCAGAATTCAGTTTTTCCTATTATGTTTTGGAAAAAAAAAATCACTGTCCTTGATTTAAATAAAATTCTAACACATCTTTATAGGAATATTTCTTCCCAATTTTAATGCTTTCCAGTGATAAGCAATACCAGGATCAAATTCTGGGAAAACTTTGGAAATTCCATAGAAAATAATAATCAAGATAACGTGAAAGATAAAACAAAGGCAAATTCTAGAGTACAGAGAAGGCACTTCGTGGATGCAAAGTCTTTGTTTGCTTTGGTAATATAAAAGATTTTACAGAAAAAAATAAAAATAACGTATGAAAGGATCTTCAAGGTGTTGAGATACCATTACAAAGAGAAATACTCAAATTATGGGTTGTAAATAGTAGTGCATCCAGGAATAAGGAGGATATGGACGGTAGAACCAGTTGAGGGTATGGACGGTTGCATCCGGAAAGACGAAATAGAGGACGAGAATTGAACTAGGAAAGTTAGCAGGAAGGAATAATATATGTTACGTTTGAAGGGAGGGAAAGGAAACTATAGACACTTTTCCAAAAAATCTGGGTTGAAAAGAAAATTCTCTAGTAATGGGAATATAATGTCATCACCCCAATGCATAAAAAGAAAAGCAGAGCGAAGTACGAAAACTATTGAACCATATGTCTCCACCAGTATATAAAATCTATAGCAAGTTGCTAGAAAATGACTCGGCAAAACAATTTAAGATGATTTATAACAGGAACAAGCTGCCTTCCGCCCCAAAAAACAGATCATATACCACATATCTTTTAGAATAATAGTAGAAAAAGGACCGAGGGTAGTAACATATCTTGACCTGATGGGAGCATATATTTTAGTCCTTCATAAATAGATTTGGGATGCATTGGGTAGAAATAAGTTCCCTTCAAATTTTATGGGTTTGAAGAGATCAGCATAATGGATTCAGCATATCAATAACCCAAAAGAGTGGTTCGTCTCAATGGACAAGAATTCAAACTATTTTTCCTCCAAGAAGAGGTCAACTAGATGATGAGAACCTTAGTTCCCATCTCTTTCAGACATGCAACAAAAAAACTATTGTCCCTATTGATATGGGAATCTTATTCCAATTTCGGAAAAGCCAACTGTCGTCTTCAGATTCGAAGAAAAATATTACAAAATAGCGGTAGAGTGAAGAGAGAGATTACTTCGAAAGGGGAAGGAACAAAGGATAAAGTGGTGCTGATTGGAAGAAATGAAAAGAACTGAAAACCACCTTATAATGAGGTTTGCATTAAATGTGTAGATTCCTAACAATACTTGGAACCCTTATAATCATAGACGGTGGCATTCACCAAGAAGTCTAAAATAGTATTAAAACAGCAAATGGAATCTTATACCAGAATGGTAACGCGATAATTGGTATAAAAGGAAGTTAACAGTCCAGCAAGTGCACTTTAAAACAATATACTTGCCTGTGTTACTATATGGAACACATCATTGGATGATTTCGAATAAGTATTTCTCAAGAATAACCGTTATGAAGGAGAGGAATAACATGATTCCAGGTGCGCCAAATAGACCACATACTGGTACACAAAAGACATACATCTAACATTGAAGATGTACGTAGTTATAGAAGTGCTGACTGTGACACAGATCACTATCTTGTAAAATATTCCTTCAAATCTAAAATATCCCTGCGATCTCGAGCAACGTTCGGAAAGCTAAAGGGCTTTAATGTGAGTAAACTGAAGAAAGAGGAATGTAGTAACAGATTTTCACAGAAAGTGACCGACAAACTTTTTTGTCTTAATATTATGTAACTTTTGTATCTTGTCCGTTCTAGCCCAGAAGAAGACCAGCAAAGTCGGGTCGAAGAAACGTTGGCTTTTAATAAAATAGTTTTGCCAATATTTAGCCTATTTATGACTGCCACCCCGTACCATCTCCTTCATTTATTGCATGAATATTTTTTTATTATTTTGTTTTATTTCTTAATGATATTTACAACTGTATTAAAGAAATACATTTGGTAAATTTGAACATATGGATATAATGACGTGAAAACACTTGAGAAACTACCCAATGGTAGCACTCTAAATTGTATGAGTAATTTTTGAATTTGCACGATGCGAATTCGTGGTTTGTATAACCGTGAACAGAACATCGTTTTTTCTCTGCCCCTTGTTTATTTTACTTGGAAAACGTGGCTAATGAGTCCGTAGTTTGTGTAAACTCACTTTTAAAATATCCAATAAGTTCCTTTTTGACATTGTTCCTTTGATTTACTTGTTAGTGGCAATACGAATCGCACCACCCATCGAAAGTTCGGACCAAAGCTGATAATCCAGTGGGTTGAGATCAGGGCTTCCTGAGGGCCAATCCGAGGCAGATATGAACTCTGGAATGTTTTTTTGCAGCCACTGCTGCGTTGACCTGGCCTTGTGAGCTGGAGCGGAATCCTACTGAAAATCCAATGACTTCCAGCAAACAGAGTATCATTTAGAGGCTGGATAACAGGTTCAAAAAAATTGTCCTGATTGTTTCTAGCGGCTATTTTCACAAAAACTGAGCTTTGTGGTGCCATAAAAGCAAACCCTCCCCCCCCCCACCACCAAACCAATACTGAGGAAGGTTGATGACCTCTTTCCACTCATCCAATGACTGGGCTCCTGGGCTTCTTTGGAGCTGTGTGCGTACACACGATCATTATGGCGATTACATTTTTCTTCAATTGTAAACATTTTCTCAACGCTAAACAAAATCTGTCGATGAAGATTGGTGTAACGCCCAAGGAGCACTTTGCATCTATCCACTCTATTTTTTTTTTAGGGAAGTGGTTATCCTTTGTCTTTTCATTCTTCGAAACGCACCCATCCTAAGGTCACTTTTTTATTATGCAAGACATTGATCTGACAGAGATTCCCATTTCCCGAGACACGATTTGTTGTTTTCGAACGGGATTTCTTCTGATTTGAGCAACCACTGCTCTCACTGCATTTGCCGTTCTCGCAGTGCAGGGATAGCTCGGTCGAGGTCTGTCAAATATAGATAGGGTCCCATTATATCTATTTATAGTGCGGTACATGAAAATAAGGCTGATGCCCAAAGGTTTCAAAATGTTGAAAATCTCTGACCTACATTTTCCAACTTTATGTAAGACGATCACAACTATGTGGTTTTCTTTATCATCCCACTCCATGTTAACTGAGCGAAAGAAAAATACAAACTAATTGGGATTATTATTCTGACATGTCAAGAAAATGACCTGATAGTGGTAAGGATTATCGAAATAATATCCAAGGATGTAAACAAAGTTCAACTTTTGTAACAGTATTTATGGCAGAAGTTGGTAGAATGGAAGAACTATAGTTTTGTTAATATTTACTGTCCGCGACATAATTTGGCAGCATTAATCCAGAATTCTGAAGTTGTTGAGCGTCTTTCCAGTTGTCAGCCAGTATCACAAGATCATCTCGATCATGTATTGATATCGTTGCCTTGTTTACATGAAGCTACAGATTTTGAAATCCTCAATATATGCACTCCCTCCGATCATCTCCCTTGTGTACTCATCTTATTTTATAAAGAAAAGAAAATCAAATCAAATCCTGGTGAAAAATGAAATTAATTTTAACATATTCAGGACAATAGCTGATTCAACCACACCACCTACCGAAGAGGTTGAGGAAGTAGAAAACCTTAATTATAAATATATGAATAGTATTTATGATTTGATGAAGGGAGCGGAACTTATAAAAAAAACAGCATATCCAGTCCCACACCAACAGGAAACCATGGTTTTCAAGAGATTGTATATTAGCGAAAAAGAATACAATGTATAATAATAAGATAAAGGTAGCCATCAGTTCTTCCAAAACATCGATTAAATTCTGGTAATCCGTCAGAAAATATAGCCACTCCACAAAATCATTTACCTATTAAACAATGGGAAGCATTTTTCAGGATATACTTCTAGATAAAGAGGAAATTGTAAGACATTTCACATCGTCTAAAATGCCTGACTTGGACCAACAAAATCACTTTATATGAGCTATCGGCATCCATAAAAAATAGTAAAAAAATCAAGCTACACGATTGACTTGATAACCAATGGGTGTTTTAAAATGCTAAATGAAAAATGCAAAAATAGCTTATTAAAACTCTATAACAAAATGTGGTCAGAAGAGCATATCCCTCACAGTTAGACACAAATAAATATGACTTTGCATCACAAAAAAAAGATCGACAATTGATCCTGAAAACTATCGAGGAATCATAAAATGGGTTAAAGAGAAGAAACTGCTGCCAGATCTATAAATGAGGTTAAGGAAAAATAAGGAGCTATAGGGATAATGTTTTTATTTTATCATCACTTTTTAATCTAGTTCTTAGGCTCAAAAAAGAGCAGTAATAGCTACTTTTATTGATTTCAATTGACTCAGTGAAATATGAACAGCTCTATGATATAGGTTTAAGAGGAAAAATCCTGAAACTTCTCTTAAATCTGTACATTAATGCGCCATTTATCGTTACCAATGGTAATGATTCATCAAAATATTTTTGGGACTTCATTATTAATTGAAAAATCTAATATTTTTCTTGTTTCATATTTTTTTAAATGTTTATAAAAAAGAAATGTTTATCTGCACATCATTACAAGGTGTATTTATCTGAAATTAAAATATATAATTGTGTTTATGTTGCAGTATAAATGAGGAAAAAGCAGTCGTGGTACATTCTGCCGCCCTCAAGATGAACGAGAGAGAGAAGAAACAGGCAGCGTTGCCAATTTCTGTCTTTGGTATATCGTTGGTAAGCATTTTTACTTTCACTTACGTATATATGTAATATATAGTAAGCGTAAGTATTGCGATCGTGAAAATTTTCGAATCTCAGCTCTCAACGGAAATACATGTTTTGAGGTCCCCAGAGTTCAAATAACCAAGTTTTGCAGAATGGTCTCTGTGTGTCTGTGTGTGTTAACAGTCTAGCTCATAAACGAAAAGTAGTACGAAACTAATATTAAGTATTTAAGGTTTGTATATGGGCTGGATGTGACAGCAACTTTTTCATTAAAATCGGCTAACCGGAAGTGCCACTTTATATGAACGCTGAAACACATTTTTACAAATTTCTCAAAAACAACTCTAACGATTTTGACCAAACTCGGTTTATCATTGTATAATTAAGTGGTATTTAATATCATTTAGGTCTTATCCCCGTTGATGTCACTTTACAGGGCTTAAATGCCCAATGTTCATATATGTCTTCCTCTAAAGTGCCTTTAATATGGTTTATTTTAAAAAGTTAACCATTTCGCATTATTCAGAGTTACGAAAAAATGCTACATATAACTTTTGAAAGAATTTGATAAATTAATAAAGGAGAAAAAAAAAAAATTCAGAAAAACCAGGTTTCCTACAGACTGTAGCGCCTAAACGAATGTACCGATTTCAATGAAACTTCGCTAAAGTCATTTACTCGATACCCTTTAAATTTATCTATATAACATACTTCAACGAAAAGAAGTTGGAAAAAAAGTTACGAGGGATGTTAAAATTAAATTTCGAATAACTCAAAAAAAATTCGTTTTTTTGGGGATATTGTATGGTTTTTTAAAAGTTTATGGAATTTACTAAAAAACTAAAAAAAAAATCGTTAAAATCGGACAATTAGGAGGAAAGATATGGTCTCTAGTTTTTTTCCCTGAAGAGGTGAAAATTTGGATAAATTTAAAATATATTTTTTCAATTGTTGAGACTAAAAAAACCTTTTTTCTACAGATATTTAATAAAGTGTCTTTCCTAAGAACATCTTTCATAAGAAAGTAGTACCTAAATTTATACTTTTATTCTCAGTTCTATATTTCAACACTGCAATCACCACCTCTCAAATCAACTTACTCATTGTCTGCATAGATAATTTTTCAACTAAAAATATCACTAAAATGACATCACTCAAAAATGTTGAAATTGGAGTTAGTCATTCTGTGGTTTATAAAAGCAGATAGAGTGAATAGATTTTCATTGCCTGTCGTCGATATATTAAATAGACATTTTGTAGTTATAATGGTCTTAATGACTTGTTATCTGTAAGCTTTAGCTCCGTTTAAAATGCACTGCAAAAAATTTTATAATAGCCCAGCATTGCTCGAAAATGATTTCTATTCAAAGTAGATCGGTAAGTGAAAGTCGTGTGTTCCGCGCACCAGATTTTTTAAATTGTTATAATTTTCCGAAATGTTCCTATATATATATTTTATACATAGAAACGCTAATTTAAAATGTAGGAGATTACAGAACATCTCTCCCATGTGTTTGCTTGGGCTCCGTAGCGGACATTGCTCAGAGCTACAGCAGTCAGATAATCTGACTCTACTTATATTCACTATATTATATTTTTTTTAAATATTATTTTATTTTCTATTTGTTTTGTTCTAAAGTATAGAGGAGATTTTTTTTTTATGTTTATTTTTTACCAATATTTTATATTAACAGAGTCTGTTATCCCTTGTTTTCATCAAGACATCATTTTCATCAAAAAATATGTCGATGACCTCCTCCTTGTCCTTAATCCTGACGTCTCCGTTTCACTATAGAGAAATAAGTTAACAATTCACTCCCCTTCTTAGACCTCTTAATTATAAAAAACACTGACGGCTATGTTTCTACTGACTGGTACACTAAACCCACATACTCAGGCAGACTACTCACCTTTTATTCCCAACACCCATATCAACAAAAAATCAATACCGCCAAAAACCTTATTCACCGATCCCTCTCTTTATCTGATCCACAATACCACCAAGCCAACATTTAGCGTGTCAAAAATATACTCCTTTCCAATAAGTTTCCTCACAACACCATACTTTATATACAACTTTATACAACCAAAAAGAGTACAACCTCCCCTTCTCCCAACTCCCCACAATCATCTACCACTAGTGTTGCCCAAAAATGGTCTTGGTCTTGCACTTTTGCAAGACTAAGACCAAGACCGGACCCTGCAAGTCTTGCGCAAGACCGAGACTGACCTCCAAGAGCCTTGCGTCTTGCTGTTAAATGAAACTGAGATTTGTGCGTTATTGAGTATTTGGTTTCCATCTAACCATAAATTAAATCGTTACAACATTGAAATCTATTGTATTGATTATTATAATTTGATGTTAATACGGTGTTTCAACATTTTAACCTTACATTAAATCTAAACAGTTTTTTTTTCTTCTTCTTAAATCGTGAATTTGAGCTCAAACATCCGAAACTTTAACATGTGCCAATACTGGAGTAAGATAAGATAACAAAAAGAAATTGGTTTTGGTGTATGAAAATGAGGTTAAGATAGTTTAAAGGACAACGTTAGTTACTATATATAAAGACTAGAAAAATTCAATTTATTTTTGTATTTAGCTATTCTTTTCTATAATCGGGGTTTAAGGCGGTAATATCACTAGTATATAATGATAACTAGTTTTTTTTTTTTTTTTTTTGTTCTTCCCTACCTCGCCTTTTAGGCTATACGGGATTTTCCCGGGCCGGGGGGTGAGGGCGGGGAATTTAAAATCCCCTCCGGCACCGGGACGCGAACTCGTACTTTTTATATCATCTCAAATCTCTGTTATCCGGTTGCCAGGCAACTAGCGGTGCTGTTACACACGCTTTAGCCTATTCGGCCACCCAGCCCCCTATATAATGATAACATAACTGACCACCAAAAAACCACTTACGCCGCCTATGATGATAATATTGCATCAGTAATGACTTATCAAATGATTACGTGGGATTCCCCACATCTACACCTACTAACTTCGTCCTCTATCTTTTGAATTATATAAACATATATATATTTATGTTTTGAAAGATGATGAGTCTACACAGCAAAGTTCAAATGTATCATCCTAGATCGAGCGTAGTAACAGTTTTTGTGCCAGCCAATATTATGACCAGAGCTCGATTATTATGCAGTAAAACAAGTTAAACAATGCCAAATGAATATGAAACCAGTTAAAATACTATGCTCCTAGAAGACATAGCGAAAAGTCAGTCAGGATTCTTAAGAAAAAAAATTAAATGAATAAAAAATTCTTCTTAAATACAAATCAGACATTATTAGTATTAGTTAAAAACACAATGTAAGATATTTATTAACCCTTTAACGACGGTGGACTCGCATATGAGTCGAGAGCCTGTCGGGCTCTTCTCTTGAAATTGCGATGTGCTCAGTGATGCAACTCTATTTTCAAATTATGTCGCGACCTTTCTATGAGACATGAGGTAATTTTTTGTTTGGATATTATGGACAATTTTTTTATGACCTCAGCCCCTTACGAACCATACCTGACAGGCCCTTGTCTTCTTTTATACCTTCAACAGATCTATACCAATCTTGAGTGGTACATGTAAAATGTAAAATCCAATAAGATCTTTTTTGCAATTTGGCACTAAAATAGAACTCTTTGCGATTTTGCTCTAAAACAAATTTATTTTGTAATCTAGCATAAAAAAGATCTATTCTGTGTCTTCATTCAGAATTTAATTCAGTTGATTATACAACCAATTTATACTAAACTAAATATCTAATTATCTAAATTTAACGAAGGTATCGGCATCAAACCTTTGGGTTCGCTAAGTCTTTTATTTTTAGTAGTAAGTAATATCCTAGACGAAAAAACAAAAAGATTTCCTGTTTACCTTCGGCTTTTCATTTGATTATCTTATTTAATGCTTTATAGTTTGCAAGAATACATAATCTGGACAACGTTCCTTGATTACATTCTGAAATAAAGGAATAAGTTTCCTCCTAATTATTAAATCTCCGACAACGTATGTTATATTATATCCCCATCGGTCGCTGTTGATTTATTTGTTAAGACCAACAATGACATGGCTTTATCAAAAGGCTGTGGGACAAGTGTATTACAGGATTGACTTTGCTGTTTGCCGCCGCTTTCATGGCAAAGGTTGCCGACTTTCCAAAGAATAAAATAAGTTTACAGGCTTACGAACCAGAACGAACTGATTAATGAAAACCCTTCTTATTATAAATATATAATTATAAGTCTTAGGTGATAAATATTAAGGACGCAGTCATTATAACAATTTTTTATTTGTGCCGACGTTTCAACCCAAACATGTGGGTCATCATCAGGGCGTGGTTCGAGCACTGGAGGCTTTCATGTACGTACTCCGGAGTACTTGATGATGACCCACATGTTTGGGTTGAAACGTCGGCACAAATAAAAAAAAAATTATAATGACTGCGTCCTGAATATTTATCACCCATGATATGTAAAACAGTCAACTAGCTTCCTTCAATAATTCTATAAGTTTTATAATTATATATTTCAGAAATATAAAAATATTTTTATTTTTCTGATAAAATAACAAATAATATTATTTAAATATTTAATTTTATGCTGATATTATTTTATTTTAATTTGTTTTTCATTCAAATAAAATTAATTATTTATTTCACAGTTGTTGGATTTGTGTTGGATTCCTATTCGTAAGATTTGTTTTTTGTTAGTTGCTTTTCAGCTCTGTGAAAAGAACTCAAAGTGAGCCTGGCAAATTAGTATTTTCACAACACAAACACACACACACACACAATCATAACTATAACTTTTGTTAAATAAAAATATGTCACTGTTTAAAAACTTTTTTTATTTTATTTATTTATTTATATGATATTTACAACTGTATACAAAAAATACATCTAGTAAATTCGCTCATAGATATAATGACATGAAACACATGTTGAGAAACTACCCATTGGTAGCACTCTAATAATATGTCAATATTAGGAGATCACGTGGC